AGACTGACAAACATGCTTTGCAAACCAAATGTTGTATAGTAAATGTGGTCATGTAATGTAATACACATAGTTCAGCAAGTCACATAATGCTAAATGAGGTCATGTAATGTAATACACATAGTACAATATTTTTTCATGTGACATGCATGTCACATAATGTAGTATTCATCACATAGGTTAGCAAGGTATATGTACAGATAGTTTATCAATTTACACTAATATACATGCTTCATAATATTCTTATTGAAAACAGAGTGATAAATATCTAATGCAATATCAGGTTATGTAATGTTATATATGTCTTAGTACCATGTCAGATGCAAAGACATATACTGAATGTAAGCTACATCATTCAATAGTTCAACAAGGTATATAGACAGATAGTTTATCAATTTACACTAAAATACATCTATCATAATATTCTTATTGGTCATACAGTGATAAATATCTTATGCAATATGAGGTAATGTAATGTAATATATGTCTTTGTACCATGTGAGATGCATGTAACTGAATGCAACCTACATCACACAATAGTTCATGAATGTATATAGACATTGTTCATTAATGATAAACATTATTTGCAAAGGAAATGATGTTTCCAAGCAGATAGATAGATAGTGCACTTAAAATAGCAGCTACAGAATGCAAAAGAACATGTCATTGCATTTAGGGTTCAAGAAAGCAGAAAATGTTATATGAAACATACAAACAACATGTACTAAGTACATTTCTTTAATGTTACTTTGACAGGTAATGTATATGTCAGTTTTAAAATGAAGAAGCTCACAAAATCAACCATAATAAATCGCAAAAGAGGGATCAAAGAGATAGTTGATCAAGGTACGAAATACATTTTTTGAGCTATTATAACTTATATTGTATATTACAGTTGAATATATGATATGGAAAATAAACTTTATATTTCCTTTGGAACTTTGTATTCAGTACAATATATTTAACACAATGTTATATAGATAGTATACAGAATACTATAATACATGTATAAAGACAGTATATAGCATAGTATATACCATATACCATAGTAAAAGATATATACAGTAGACTTTATATCCTCAAACTTTATAGTGTACCATAGTATCATAAACCATATTATACGCAGTACACAGTATAAAATTTCCTAAAGTTATATACCATACAATATATCACTAATCTATATAAACATACATGTATGTTTATAGTATACAGAATAATATAACATATTTATACTATCAATGTGTATATATATATATATATATATATATATATATATATATATATATATATACATTTCTATAGATTCATTGAAAGGCATGAACACTGACAGATTCTTTTTCCTGTAATCACCTTTCTCATCTATACAGCCAACTTATGTTTGACAATGTATACACTAAATTTCAATATTTACAGACCAATGTGTATAATTGCAACTTATAGAAAATTAATAGTAATAGCACACAAAATAAATCAAACATGTTCGTCCGTCACCATACACAGGTCTGATATTTCCACAGACCTGGTCACGAAATGGTATATAGGACATGATTTATTTATCCTCAAACATTACAGAAATCAACAGATCTACAACAGAAATCAACAGATCTACAGACTTCACTTTAAACTTTTAAAAACAATTCGCCATAAAAAAATTATATTAGCGAATGGGAACGCATGCGACAAAACAAAAACAGGTTTTCTGCAACAGATTACCAAAATCACAGAGCAAATAACAACACTGTAAATCGTTTCATATATTCAACAACAACTGTTTAAAACGAACTCTAAGTTTGAGGAAACAAAACATACAAAAGAGGCTATACCAAACGATTGAGACCAGACCGCGGACTAAAATGGAGACTGATAACCATCGATTCACATGCAACCGTATCATCCCTCGAAGCTACGCATACGGCCGGAAAACCGATAAATCCCACACCTACAAGAACACCTAGACGGAGGAGAAAAGAGCGGATAGAAGTGAAGATTCTGGAGACCATCGGTCTGAATGAGTAACCGATGGTTCTCGATCATTACCGGGGATATATATCTGATGGTTGGGTCGGGTAGGTTTAGGGTTTAAAGGGTTGGGCTGATAGGGTTGTTGGGTTGGGTAGGTTTTATTTTATTGTTGGGTTAAAAGGGTTGGAATTGGGTCCAATTAGAAGAAAAAATTGGTTGTCCAACTACTAGACTATTCAACTTATCATTTTAAAAAAATCCCAAATTATTTAAAAATTGTATTTTTAATAATAATTCTTATTTCTGAATTCATATTATGTAATTAGTTAATTAGTTAATACTACTTAATAATAGTAAATATTAGTTAATTAGTTATTAGTCATTTATTAAAATTTGTAAAATTGTAAAATTTTAAGAATTCAAGGTCTAAAGTGTTGGGGCTAATTCTTAGACCACTAAGAACTTAATTTTAATAAAAATATAATTACTTTAATTTTATATGATAGCATTCATTTTTTTTATTAATAATACTCCACATTGGTTGAAAAATTAAAATAATTCATATTTTATAGTACTAAAATTAATCCTTAAAAATCTGCGTAATTACAGATTCAAAGATTTATAAATTCTAATTTTATTGGTTTTTCTGCAGAGAATGTTGATTGTAGGTTCGACAGTAACCATTCTTCTCGAATAGTGGGATTTAGTTGCAGTTCTTCTAAATTCACAAGCGCAATTGCAAAAGAAGGGAATTCTAATATTTTAGCAGACAGAACAAATGGTATGTAGTATTTCTTATAACTATATATTATTATATATTCAATTGTGTGCAATTACAAATTATGCTTCCAAGTATCATTTAATATTTATATGCATGTAAATTTATTATTTGAAAACAAACTTTTTAATGTATATATACATCAGAATTAAATTTAAATGTGTTTTGTACTATTATCATATATACTATTGCTTTTTTAATCTAATATTTGTATATGTAAATATTTATAATATATAGATATATGTATATATGCACTACTATGCCAATTGATTAGTTATAATGAAAATGAGAATTACAGTGTTGCAGTTCCCGTTAAACTCTTCAGTAATATTGATCACGCAAAACGTGAATGACATATCCAGCATTTGTCGAATACAACGTCCTACTGCTATTGTACCACAACCTCAATTGCCTAACATTGAGGATGCACATCCATCATATATGAACGTTGGTGAAGGTGAGAAAATTATGAATTGCATTTCTTCACGAATGGTAATCACTTCTTGGTTAACATATGATTACTTTTGTAGATGCAATGAACAGTGAATATTGGGACGTTGGTGATCTCACTTACAATTGTGAACATTGTGGGGCATTGCTTTGGTATGAAGAAAGATTGCTACGAAGTTCTACTAAAACAAGTCTCAAGTATTCTATATGTTGCGGTCAAGGGAAGATCCAACTACCAACTCACAAAGAGGCTCCAAAAGAATTGTGTGATTTGATGAATGGTACGGATCCCAAATCCAAACACTTTCAGGATAATATTCGATCATACAATAGTATGTTTTCTTTCACATCAATGGGCGGAAGGGTTGATAGAGAAATCAATAGGGGTGGGTCACCTCCAGTCTTTAAACTTAGCGGTCAAAACTACCATCTCATTGGTAGTTTGTTGCCCGAGGAAGAAAATGTCCCCAAATTTGCCCAATTGTATATCTATGACACGCAACATGAAGATGTCAACCGCCTTAACTCAGTGGGGTAATTATCTAATATAAGATAAATTATTTTTCTATTTCATTATGCCATTTTAGTAAACATTGTTGTACTTTTGTTTTCCAACTTTAGGGATGATCTACGAAAGAACAAATTGCATGTTGACATTGTCTCTACCCTAAGGCTCATGTTGGATCAACATAACGTTTTGGTCAAGTCTTTTAGGATGGTTAGAGATAAGATTGCAGAATGTGGACATTCTAATGTTAACTTGAAGTTGATTGGCCGGAGAGGTAGAGATGCTAGAACATATAATTTGCCAACGGTGTCTGAAGTGGCGGCTTTGATAGTGGGTGACTTTGATGAATCTTTGGGGCAAAGAGACATAATGGTAGAAACTCAAGGGGGTGTTTTTAAACGAATCAATGAGCTGAATCCTGCTTATTTGGGGCTTCAGTATCCACTTCTGTTTCCTTATGGTGAAGATGGGTATAGAGAGGATATAAGTTTCTCGGATTCTAGGAGTACCGGCAGTAAAGGTCGCCGAAGTGTTAGCATACGCGAATTTCTGGCATATCGATTACATGATCGTGGTTTTGATAATTCCTTTATCCTCAAAGCTAGGAGATTGTTTCAACAATTTGTGGTAGACGGTTACACGATGGTTGAATCATCCAGACTAACTTATATAAGATTGCATCAAAAGCAATTACGATGTGAAATGTACAAAGGCCTTTCAGAGGCGTTATTGAGTGGTGAACGAGATGCTTCTACCCAAGGAAAGAGAATAGTCCTACCACCCACATTTTTTGGAGGAGCCAGATACATGGTTCAAAATTATCAAGATGCAATGGCTATATGTCGATGGGCTGGATATCCAGATCTTTTCTTGACTTTCACTTGCAATCCTAAATGGCCTGAGATTGTTAGGTTCCTTTCTGAAAGAAATTTGAATCCTGAAGATTGGCCTGATATAATCTGTCGAGTCTTCAAGATCAAGTTAGATGGATTGATAAAAGATCTACGAAAAAATAAAATCTTTGGTGATGTTCGGGCAGGTCAGCAAAATTTTAGTTCTCAAATTATTAATAAAGTAATTGTTCATGTTATATAATAATTGATTGCAATGCTTATTGTTATTTCGTGCAGTAGTATACATTATTGAGTTCCAAAAGCGTGGCCTCCCACATGCCCATATATTGTTGTTCATGGGAAATGCAGATAAATTTCCCACTCCTGCAGATATAGATCGCATTATATCAGACGAAATACCTGATGAATCAAGTGATCCTGATTATTTTAATGAGGTACGAATGCATATGATGCATGGACCGTGCGGCAGTGATTGCAAAAACGCGCCGTGCATGGTTCAGTCCAAATGTTCTAAGCATTTTCCAAAGAAATTCAATGTACATACTAACATTGACGAGGATGGTTATCCTAAGTACATGAGACGGGACGATGGCAAAATGATTGTCAAAAATCGTGTCCCACTTGACAACAGACACGTTGTTCCTCATAATAGGTATTTGTTAATGAAGTATGGAGCTCATCTTAATGTCGAGTGGTGTAACCAATCAAGGTCTATCAAGTATCTTTTCAAATATGTGAATAAAGGTAATGACCGTGTTACAGCTGCATTTTATGAGTCATCAAATAAGGATGGCTCAGAAAATCCCGTGGATGAAATAAAATTGTACTATGATTGTCGATACATTTCACCGTGTGAGGCAATGTGGCGTATATTAGGGTTTGAAATACAATATAAGAATCCATCTGTTGAGCGTTTGAGCTTTCACTTTTCTGATGAGCAGTATGTATATTTTGAGGACGAGGATACAATGACAGATGTTGTACAACGTGAATCTGTTAAACAAAGCATGTTTCTAGCATGGATGAAGGCCAATGATCAGTATGTGGATGCTAAAACTTTAACTTATGCTGAATTTCCTCAAAAGTTTGTTTGGAAGCCAGCAACCAGGGAATTTTTTCCTCGGAAAAGGGGTTTTGCTTTGGGGCGACTGGCATATGTCCCTCCTGGATCAGGAGAATCTTTTTATTTGCGATGTATACTGAATTTTAAGCGTGGTTCTACGTCTTTCGCCGATTTGCGAACTGTTGACGGGGTTTGTTATGACTCATATCGTGACGCATGTTATGCATTGGGTTTGTTGGACGATGACAAAGAGTACATCGAAGGTTTTACGGAAAGTAGTTTTTGGGCTTCTGCATTGGGATTGAGAGTTCTCTTTGTCATTTTGTTATTAGCGGATACAATGAGTAGACCTGAATACGTTTGGGAGAAATGTTGGAATTTGATGTCTGATGACATTCTACATAGACAACGACGAGCTTTGCTACATCCAGGTTATTCATAAATTACAATTTGTGGTTAAACTCATAACTGTTTATAATATGGTTCATGAAACTGCTGTTAAATTAAACGTTTATATGTTTTGTTGTAGAATTAAAGTTGACGGAAGACGAAATAAAGAATTATGCATTGCTTGAGATTGAGACAATGTTGAGGACTCGGGGAAGAAGCCTGAAGGACTACCCATCAATGCCATTTCCTAAGTTCAGTAACGCAAACATGTTTCAGAACAGATTTATTTATGACGAGTTGCAATATGATCATGCAGAAATGCGCAACGAGCATGAAAAATGTATGGAGAGTTTGAATGAGCAGCAAAGTGAAGTGTACAAGACTATTATTAAATCAATTGAGGAGAACAAAGGTGGAGTGTTCTTTGTTTATGGGTACGGGGGTACAGGTAAAACGTTGTCCGCGGCTTTGAGGTCAAATGGGGAAATTGTTTTAAATGTGGCTTCAAATGGGATTGCTTCATTATTATTACCTGGTGGAAGAACAGCTCACTCACGTTTTGCAATACCAATAAACACAACTGAGCACTCCACATGCAACATCAAACAAAACAGTCCACTAGCCCAATTGATAATTAGGTCCAAACTTATTATTTGGGATGAGGCACCAATGATGCATAAATATTGTTTTGAAGCTTTGGATAGAAGTTTTCGTGATATTATGAGGGTGGTTGATCCTCTAAATAATGATAAGCCGTTTGGAGGGAAAACTATTGTCTTTGGAGGAGACTTCAGACAAATCTTACCGGTGATTACCAAAGGAACAAGACAAGACATAGTTAATGCCACAATTAACTCCTCATACATATGGCAAGATTGCATTGTTTTACGCTTAACGAAGAACATGAGGCTTCAATCGTTAAGTAACGATCGTGATTATGCTGACTTGGTTGAGTTTGCTGACTGGATAGCAAGTTTGGGAGATGGAACGGCAGGTGGTGAAAATGATGGTTGTGCTGATATACAAATATCAAGTGACATTTTGCTGCAAAGTGGTGAAGACCCCATCGCAACAATTTTACGCAGTACGTATCCTAATTTTGAAGTTATGCCGACTGACCCATCATTCCTAAAAGAACGTGCAATTTTGGCCCCAACACTTGATGTTGTTGACTCGATTAATGAGTACATGACTACATTGAATGTCACAGAGGAGTCTAGGACATATTTGAGTTCTGATAGCATTTGCAAATCAGACTGTAATTCTGATTTCTTGGCAGATCTGCATACACCAGAATTCTTAAATAAGATACGTGCATCCGGTGTTCCAAATCATGAGCTCACCCTAAAGGTAGGTACTCCAGTTATGTTGTTGAGGAACATTGATCATTCTATGGGCTTATGCAATGGCACGAGGTTGATTATTACAAGGCTTGGAAATCATGTTCTTGGAGCAACAATTTTAGGGGGGAAATTTGATGGTGAAGAAGTAGTCATACCAAGATTGACATTAACACCATCAGATACAAGAATACCATTCAAGTTTCAAAGAAGGCAATTCCCTATCATGACCTCTTATGCAATGACAATAAACAAGAGTCAAGGTCAATCTCTAACGCATGTTGGACTTTTACTGAAAAAACCATGCTTCACTCATGGTCAACTTTACGTTGCAGCGTCAAGAGTTACCAATCGCAAAGGCTTGAAAATATTGATCTGTGATGAAGATGGCAAACAAATCGATCATACTACTAATGTTGTTTACAAAGAAATATTTCAGAATCTATAGTTTCGCTATTAACACTTATTCATTTACTACCCGCTTCATAGTTTGAAATGTTATCTCTCTCTTTTAATTTTTACATTTCACTATGCGAAAATAAATTACATTACCAATTCGTCACCGATGTTACAATTTATCTTTAACTACAAACAATTATTATATTATTACTAGCCACTTCATTATGAGTTCAATTATTTACGCGTTTCTTTAATACAATTCTTAATCACACTATGGTCAAATTTCATCCGCGCATCGCGCGGGTGAGTATCTAGTATCAACAATATAACAACATTTTGTTATTAACAACCTTAATGTGTAATACAAAGTATCATTTTCTTGAAAGTGATAGTTCCTTTATAAAACTGAATTTGTCTACAATCAAAAGTCTAAGAGCTTTGTACTTCAACCTGGTTACTCCACATTCTTTTTAGAAAAATTTCATTTGTACACCTTCATATACACATCAGTACACCCCCGTTATCTGTGAGAGTTTTTTTGTCTGTGAATCCGAATCGACAGACAAAAACTGGCTTGTTTTGTCTGTAGAATTTTCCACACACAAAACAAGCCAGTTTTATCTGTGAACTGGGATTCACAAAAAATAAACCTCTCACAGACACGGAGGTGTACTGGTGTGTATAAGAACGTGTACATCAATAATTTTTGTTCTTTTTAAAATCATTTAATTTATCTACAAGTGGTATTTAATGCACACTAACACAGACGTAATGTTGTGAATTTTTAATACTCTAATCACATCTTATTAAGTTTTATCTATTCAGGTGTCATATTGTCTATCTAACCTAGTATTGATATCTAGTATATGGCCGTTAATCTCGTGATGATTGTTTTCGATGTCATATTAAAATGTCACGCTACCTCCATCACTCTCAACTTCATCAACTTTATATTGAGCGTAGAATTAAAAAAGTAAAAAATATCTGGTCAAAATCGGTATATAGAAGAGGAAAACGAACGGAATCACAAATTTATTACTTTCAAAGGAAAATGACAAATTTTTAGACAAACAAATGAAAATCGAAAAAAAACAATGCTATCAATAGAGTGTTGTTTTAGGTGTCATACTCATGTGATAGGGATTGACAACTAGCTTAGGTATTCAATATGGTGACTAGAAACCAAAGCTTTCCCTATTATTTCGGCATTGATGCGTATTGTGAGTTTGACAGCTTCCCCTTTCTATCGCTGCTTCTCCTTGGACAACAAACCCTTGTTCTTCGCAAATTATATGTGGGATCGGCCCACCTTGCGCATGGTGTGCCGATCCCAAAATGTTGTCGTTTAGTTTATTAAAAATTAGGTCCCACAACTTGATCAACAGATTTCGCAATAGTCGTTTCTCCGCATCTCAACGTTAATGAACCCTTCTCTACTTTATCATCTCTGTGATTCGATCCTCATATGTCTTCAATGGAGTTTTCTGTCGTTGATTCCGTTTTTGTGAATTCTTCGACTGAATTGTGCGATACTTCACCTTCTAATATACAAGATATCGATATTCATTCAACTGGTGACAATAACTTGGAATTTGATGAATCGGTTGATGTTGAATGGATCGGTAAGTATTTAATGTTTTGAGTTGTATGAATTTCGTTTGTTTGTCTGTGCAGTATGATCTGCTTTTTTTTGTTCTCTGATTTATAATTTGGTGTTGGAATTTGGATTGTAGTGTTCATATTTGTTGAATTTTGTTGTCTTAGGTTCAGGAGAAGAAGATACTTGTCCAAGGCCTTCTAAATTGTTATATCTTCTCAGTAGAGATACTTGTTCTATCATGTGATACGATTTTGTTCGATTAAGTTTAGTTCAATGTTATGTAACTTCAGTTGAATAATTTGTAACTTCTGTTTAGTAGTATGTAACTTTTGTTAAATCATGTGTAACTACTGTTTAGCTATCTATTTTATCTCTTCATTGTATGCATTTGTTGTTTGTTTTGATATGTACGCTTTTAAAATTATCAGATACAATGGAAACTGTTGATCAGGCAATTGAGAGAAAATCACTTGTTGGATTTAGTGTCAAATGTGAACATGATACTTATAATCTTTACAACAATCATGCTTTTGAAAATGGATTTGGTATTCATAGACACAAACAGAGGTTTAGGAGTGGAAATGTAAGTTTGAGTATGAAGTCTTACTGTTGTTGGAAAGAAGGGAAGAAAATACAAAAGGGCACTGAAAACAAATTGTATACGAATATGGGTCGACTCGGGTCGGGCCGGTTCCGGTTCGAGCATGGGCCCGACCGGGCTTTTATTTGAAAATGTGTGAACCGGAACCGGCCCGGGTCAGGCCGGGCCTCGGGTCACTTCCTAAATTTTTCTAATTAATCCCCTAATCCCCCCCACCCCCCAAACCACCCCAAATGGCCCAAAACACCCAGCTCAACCTAGAAAAATAAAAATATTGAAAAAACAAAAAAAGGCCGGGAACCGAGCCTGGTCCGGCCCAGCCGGTTCATCATTTGGGGGACCCGAGCCCGCACCGTAAAACCACCGGGCCGGGCCTACCCAGACCGGCCCCTGGCCGGGCCTACCCCGACCGATCCCTGGCCGGGCCACCGTTTCGGGCTGGGCCGGAACAGTACCGATCTCGGGCCGGTTCCGGGTCGGGCCACCCGGCCCGAGTCCACCCATATATACGAAGTTAGATTATCGTTCAGGTTGTAAAGAGAAGTTACAGTTTTCTATTAGTGTTGATGCTGGATGAACTGTTTCGAAGCACATTATTGATCACAACCATGCTTTTTGTCTCATTGGTCAAAGACACTTGCTGAAATCACATAAATGTGTTGATCGTAAGTATCTTGAGTTTATTATGTTGATGAACGAGAGTGGGACAAAGGTTTCCGAATTCCGATACTCACAAGATGCTTCAAAAAGAATTTAGTGGTGTGAGTTCTCTTGGATTTACCGGGCGTGACGCTTATAATGTTTTAGAATCTGAAAGGACTAAAACACGTTTGATGACACTGATTCAAACACTTTGATAGTATATCGAAAAAAAGGGTTGAAGTGAATCTGATTTTTACTTAGATTTTGATCGGGATGATGGTATCCTGAGTTGTTTTTTCTGAAGAGATTAGGGGTGGACTCGGGCCGGGCCAAACGGCCCGGAACCGGACCGGCCCGCTACTGTGCGGGCCCGGCCCGCTACTGTGCGGGCCCGGCCCGGACCGGTGAACCGGTTCCGAGCCCGGTTCGGGCCAACCGGCCCGATGGGATGGCGGTTCAGGCTCGGGCCCTTCAAAAGGTGAATCGGCCCGGCCGGTTCGGGCCCGGGCCGGGCCAATTTTTTTTTTGTTTTTAGATTTTTTTTTAAATTTTTGGGTTGGGCTAGGCATTTTGGGCCATTTGAGGTGGTTAGGGTTGGTTTGGGGGTGTGGGGGAGGGTTGGGGGTTAACTAGGAAAAGCCAAAAAAAAAAAAAGAATAGAACCGAGGCTTGGCCCGGACCCGGGGGTTACCCGGGCCGGTTCCGGGCCTCCCCTTCTTGAACCGAGGCCCGGCCGGGCCCGAACCAGAACCGGTCCATCCCTAGAAGAGATGGGCAAATGAAATCGAATTACGATAAGTTTGGAGATGTAGTTATTCACGATACAACTTACAGGACTAACAAGTATGACATGATCTATGATCCTTTTGTTGGTATGAATCATCACCGTAAAAACATAATGTTTGGTTGTGGCTTTATGTTGAAGGAGAATGTGGAATCTTTTGTTTGGTTATTTCAAACTTTCCTGAAATCTATGAATGGTAAACACCCCATCACTTCCATGACAGACTAGTCATTTTCCATGGCAGCCGCTATCAAATCTGTTTTTCCCGACGCAAGACACAAACTTTTCACTTGGCATATAGATGAAAATTCCAAAAAAAAAAACAGAAGACCCGAAAATTCTAGAGGTCTAATCTGGACACAGAATACAAGCAAAAAGGATTCATTGCGCGGAAAAAAAGAACTCATAGCTAAATCATGTCTCCATTAACTGAGGCTTGGATTTTTTCTTTTTCCCTTTACTGCTTCTCTTTTTTAGTAAACCTGTTTCGGTTTCTTATCTTCTAGAGGAAGCGTGCTCTGCAAATGTTGAAAAATGGCTTGCATTGGATTCGATTGGAAAGCGGGATGTTTAATAACAGCCTGCAATTGAATGCCTTCCTTCACCACTAGCTTTTGCCTGTTTTTACTGTTTAACTTAAGTTCTGTTCGTTTTGGTGGTTGCTTAGGAGCCTCCAAACCAGGGAGGAACTCTGAAAGAGAAGATAGATCATATGCCAGCAACTTCTTTTTCTTCCTTTGGGCCTTTGACTTCTGGTAAATTACAAGAAACATCATCTTAACAAACAAAATTCATGCCACCACATTAGCCCACGGTGGCCTCTAGTTTTTGTATGTGTGTTGAAATGTACATTGATTTGTAAATTAAAAGATCTTAAAAATCAAGCAAATGTAGGTCAACCTTCGACGACTAGTCGATTACACATTTACGCACTTTACAGGGACAACAGTAAAAGGAAAAGGGATGAGTGAATAGACATACCTTAGTGATGGACTTCTGTGCACTCAAGGAAGCGACCGTTTCCTTAACCTCTACATCCATTTAAGAACCATCATACATATAAAGATTATGGACTACAATTAAATTAATTTGGAAAAAAAAATCCAATACTCTTCAATAGGAAGGGAAATTTTGAAAGAGGAAACGGGAATGGCTTAACAATTACAATCATTTTGAAAAAGCACATAAAAACACTCTGTAATATTCAATAACTTTTTATAGCTAATTTAGCACATTCACCCATTTCAGCAAAAAAACAGCAAGTCGAGAAGAACCGGCCCCACTTCGGCTGCTATAAGACATATCAACTGGGCTCAAAATTGACAAATGATGTTCCCAAAGATGGCATGGCATACAGTAAGAGTGAGACTTTTAATTTTTTATGTTTAATCACCTCACAAGTGAGATTGAGTTTGGAATTTTACTGCATAAAATCATTGGCATTACTCCATTACAGAAAAGTTACTGATATATTGCTTGAAACTTTTGAGAAAATCCTTCGAGATGTAAAAAAAGGACCTTTTTTCTCTTTTTAAGATCACATGATGGTATTGCATGTTCTTAAATCATCATCCATGATACAGGACTAGGTGAATATGCATCATCACACCACCCTAATGAATAACATATCAATTTCATCATAAAACTCTAAAAAAGAATCATGAAAGTGCCAGAATCAAACATCAAAGGAATCAGAATGTCAGTCAAGGAAAAGTATCACTTTTTTTAGATCAAGAAAAATTACCAATTAAAGCATACTGCAATATGTAATAATATAAAGATTATACTTAAATCAAAGATTACCACTTAAATATGTAATATTTAAGGTTTAAATAAAAAAAAATTGTAACTATATCCACTTACTGGTATAAAATTGCACTTTCTTCTCGAATTTGCGGTCAGCTCGTGTGGACGCATCTTCACTGAGGCAAATGAATAAAAACAACTATAACTGAAAGCAATTGGCATAAATGGTAGAAATGGATTGTGAATAATACAATTAATCTGCATACCGTGGCCTGGCTTTTCCCATACTGAAGCTTTACGCTCTAATTAAAAAATGAACCTGCAGGACTTAACAATAATTAAATGTTGAGAACAATTGAAAAGAATCCAACTACCAAGAAGCAAACAAAGATTTATTGCTTTAAGAGAAATATTGGTCTTTCTGCTTGTATATAGATGGGCATGCATGCTTGTTATTAGCTTATTAACCTAAGTTCAAAACGAGTACTACAGTTTTATAGCTTCCGGCTAGCTGAAAAGATGCCAAGCAAATTGAGTTTATTGTAATTTATCCAAATACTGCCTCAACAACCCCTACTTCGCACTTATTTTGCGAGGCACATTTCTTGTATAAACTGATCAGTATAGCTAATTATCAAAACAGCAGGCATAATAAGCATAATAAACTTTAGAACACGAACAAATTATACTGCTCAAAACAAATTGTATTACGAAAATATGTTAGCTGGATTTAGTGGTCTTCTAGTAAAACCCATTACAATTCTTTGTTTACAATGTTTGCTATTGTGAAAAACTAGGATGGGTCAAAGTATCTATCTACTAATATGTAAAAGCAAAAAAGATCCTAGTGTTGCTGCCTATAAAGGAATTAAAACACCTTGTCAGAACCGGTCCTGAGAAAATGGGGACCTTGTGCAACAAAAAAAATGGGCTTTTTTCCAAGTTCCAACATACTAAATAACAAACTTATACCAATTTCTTAAGTCTTAATTGAATAATTGTTAAACACACTTATTCTCAATTCAATTACTTAATAAGTAATAACTGCAACAAATAAGCAAATAACAACATCGCAAGTAGGCAACACACTAATTTCACTAATTTGCAATTCAAAGAAATCAGAAAATGATAGTGCCTAGTTGCGTACAGGTTACTGCGGGTAGCGTCCTAGCGTGAAAAGTGGACTGACGGACAGCCCGGATTGGTAGGGCGTGACTGCGTGAGGGCGTCGTGCGTACGGACAGTGCGGTCGGGGTCCTGGAGGTTGGAGGCGTGGCGTGGATGCGTGTTGCGGTCGTGGAAGGCTGGAGCCTGGCGCTGGCTGGCGGGCGGCGGCGGTCGTCGACTGACTCGACTCGTCGGCGCTTTCAGCTTTCTCTTCCCCGTCTTGGCGTCTTCGGTCTTCCGCACTCTTCGTTCTGTTTTTTCTTCAAAGCTTCGGACCTGGGCTGAGTAGTATTACTAATTTCTCATGGGCCTTCCAAAATTTGGGGCTCTTTCAATTATTAGAAGTTGGCGGTCCAACTCTTTTTTGGCCCTTTTCGTCCTCTGCAAAATAATTATCATACAACTTGTCTTCATTAGCCATTTTATCAAAAGCTATCCTATGCTCAAGTGTTGTTGCCAACATGAGGCAAGTATTATTCCACCTAATATTATTGTCCAAAAACATGCTCCCTCAATTGACCTTAGCTATTTCAGAACGTTTTTTAAAAGCTTTAAATCTAGCATTTAATGACCTCACATATTTCACTGCATTTCAGATAGTAACAACACTATCACATATTCAAAATATAATAGCCTAATATATTTAGGAATCTGCCTAATATATATTTAGGAAACTACCTAATATATATTTAAATATACTTTGTATTTTGGCAACTCTTCTATTATAAATATATTTGTCGGGACTCTTATTGGAGTACTTTTTCCCATTATTTCACACAATGGACATGCAAAAACTCACCACCAAAAAGTAATGGATCACTTCTCCATGAGCCCAGGTTCCTTTTCAAAACCTAATTGCACTATCATTGCAGTACCATTTCTCACCAATAGTATCAATCAATCAGCTCTTGATTATTCTCTTACCAGTTAGTTTTTGTGTCAATATTCTGTTAGGGTAGTTAGTTTTACTTGTTGAAGTTGTTGCCCAAATATTTCTTTTTATACTATAAATATCACCTTTCAACTTGTGGAATAGATTACAATTCTTACTCTCAAACTTATTGTTACACTGCAGGATTTTATACTCAATCTACAATTACCATATTTTTGACTCTCCCTCGATTTTGCCTACCCTAGGTCATTAAAGCCATCAACATGGATAATAATTCCAGCGAATGTTCATCTTTGATTTTCCAGTGATTTTTTAGCGACTGTCAAACTTCATTTAATCTTCCTGATCATATAAGATGATAAGGATGCAGGGCGGATCTGCTTTGTTCAGGAGTGTTCATGTGAACATCCAAAATTTTAAAGATACAATACAAAAATACATGTTAAGAATTGATGTAATAATTTTTTTATTTCATATCTTAGTGGTAAAATAATTTTGAATACCCAAAATATGGTTGCAAGATCCGCCACTGATTGTAGAAGATGATGGTGATGTACCTCCGGTTCTTATTAAAGTTCCCAGTTTGACTTCACACATATTAAGAAAATGAATTTGACTTTACTGTGGAGTGCAATGTTTGGCACTGTTTGGCACTGTTTGAATACTGTTTGGCACTATTTGGCACTATTTTGCATTGTTTTGTTTCCCAAAATGGAAGTGTGAACTTAAACAAGGGACATCCCAAAGAGGAAAGTGGGAACTTTAATAAGAACCGGAGGGAGTATATAGTATTGGGGAGATGGTGTGGTAGAATTTGGTTGTAAGGGTTCTGCCACGTAATTGGGTTTGGAAAAAGTGGAGGATGTATTCGGTGGGGGATAAGGTTGGTCAGAGGGTTGGGACTTTGATGAGCATGGAGAGGAGGAAAGAGCAGCGGGGAGACCACGTGTGCAAGGGACATACACCTGTTTGCCGGAAAGTCGCAAATTATATGGTGCAACCGGCGCACCATGAGGATGGTGCGTCCGGTTGCAAAAACGACGTAGGATCAGATTTTTTTTTCTTTTTTGCTTTTGTTGTTAAAAATGATAATAACTTTTTTATTTTTGATCCGATTTTTATAAAATTTATATCAACATTTTTTATTTTTCATGATCTTTCAAATGAGACCAATATTGTGTATGTAATTTTAAGAAATTATCGAACTATTATATTAATGAGTATTGGATTATAAGAAAAATCGAATCTGTTTGGGAGATGATAGGTTTGTGAAATAGAAGATCGAATCTGTTTGGTAGTGGATCAGTGGCCTCATTTACATTTGATAATACATTGAGTTACATCTTTTTATGAGCGAGTTACATCTTTTTATAAGCAAGTTACATCTTTTTATAAGCAAGTTACATCTTTTTATAAGCAAGTTACATCTTTTTAAAAGCGAGTTACATATATATAAACACGAGTTGCATTTGACATGCTTGAACGCGACTTACATGTATTTACACGTAAAGTTACATATTTTTACACGTAAAGTTACATATTTATACACGCGAGTTACATATTTATACACACGAGTTGCATGTGACCTGTCTGAATGCGAGTTACATATTTTTTACGTAAAGTTACATATTGTTACACGTAGAGATACATATTTATACACACGAGTTGCATTTGACTTGACTGAAGAGTTACATATTTTAACACTTAAAGTTACATATTTTACACACAAATGTTAATATGTTAAAATTACATAGGCAATATTGGTCTCATTTGAAAGATCATGAAAAATAAAAAATGTTGATATAAATTTTATAAAAATCAGATCACAAATAAAAAAGTTATTACCATTTTTTAAAAACAAAAGGAAAAAAAAAAAAGAAAAACCGTCCCGGTATACGGTGCTCACCGTATACCGGTTGCACGGTATACGCACTCCCGGAAAGTAGGCAGATTGAGAATTGGAGTAACCAACAAAAATACACCGGTGAGACCGAGGCATAATTTTATTCGAGTTATACGGACGGAGCCACGGGTAGCATGTGCAACCGAAGGGCTGCAATTTGGAGTAATTCGGGTCAGTATGATATAACCGAGAGTACGGACTATCATTTTGGAGGACAGGGGTAGGGAGACGGTTGATAAGATAAACTGCTGTTTGGAACGCATAGGACTAGTATGTGAGTGGTAGTCCTGAATCATGTAGAAGAGCGAGACCGGTATCGACAATATGTCGATGCTGACGCTCCGCTAGACCATTATGCTCAGGAGTGTGAGGGGGTGAGGTAAAATGAGAAATTCCATGAGAATTGAGATAGGATTTAAGTTTAATATATTCACCACCATTGTCAGAAAAAATAGAAATGATAGGGAGATTAATGATTTTTTCAACCAGACGGTGAAATGACAGACACCTCATATTTATTTTTGAGTGGATAGAGCCAAGTATAGCGCATAAAAAAATCAACAAAAATTACATAATAGTAATATCCATTGACAGACTGCGTGCTAGTACTCCACACATCAGAATACATAAGTTCAGGCGGTTGTTTTGCAGACATTGTATTGGAAAAAATGGTAACTTGGTACTTTTATTAATAGAATAGGACATACAATGTGACATATTTTTAATGTTACAAGGTATGGCACTTTTATTCTGATTGAGAAGATAATTAAAAGTACGACTAGATGGGTGACCCAAAGTGTGATGCCAATGAGACTGAGTCATTATTTGAGACGTATGAATTTGAGGTGGACTGGTAACTGGTGCATAATAAACATCATGATGATTCTCCCCTCGCATTAGTGGCGTCCCCGTGCTCCGATCCTTAACAATAAAATGAGAAAGAATTCAATAGACACATTGTTAGTTTTGTAGAGTTTGGCAACTGAAATAAGATTTTTATTTAGGCTAGGAACACAAAGTATATTGGATAAGGAAAGTGATCGGGTAGTCGTGGGTAATACGGTGGTACATGTGTGAGTAATAGAAAGTGACTTACCTTCACCTAATTAAACTTCATCGGGACCACCATAATCAACATAGGATGAAAGAGTGGAAAGATCAGATGTGACATGATGAGAAGCTCCACTGTCAAATAGCCATGGTTGTTCCGAAGCAGAAGACGTCATTGTGTGATTAATTGCTGGAGCAGGGTGGGAACATTGTTATCCCGAAGACGTCATGGCCAGAGTTCTCACAAAATCGACATATTATGGGATTTGATCCACGAGAGGAGGGCTGCGTGAAAGAGCCCCTGCCACGTCTAGTTTGGGCCCCATGGTAATTCCCATTTGAATTGGAACGTCGGTCAACATGAGAGTGTGACCTAAATGATTGCTGAGTGACATTAATTGTTGGTAGTAGGTCTTGAGTGGAAGCTTTTTGTTCCAGGTTTCCAGTTTCCTCTTCAAGCAAAATTGATTGCAATTGGGCAAGGGGAAGAGGAGTCTCACGAATACGAATTGCAGATGTAATGTCCGGAAATTGAGATCCCAAACCATTGAGAATATTGACAACGAGATCCTCATTAGATATAGGATTTTGGGCTAATGCGAGAGCATCGGCGATGGCTTGCATGTCGGCGAGATAATCGGTGACAGAGCGGGATCCCTTGGTAGTGCGGGACAACATCGTTTTGAGCGAAATAATACGCCCACGAGAGGTGCTGGCGTAAGTGGTGGACAGTTTGTTCCACGCTTGGTGCGTCGTGGAGGAGGTGGAGATGATGGGTTGAATTGGATCCGAGCAGCTGCCAATAAGGGCACTCGGGATGGTCTTGTCTTGTCGATACCGGATGGTATAACAAGGATTGGTTTGTGTTTTGGCAGCATCAAGAAACCGATCGGGAGCAGTAATACCGCCATCAACATATTCTTCAAGTCCTAACCCGATAATGGCAACATGAACTTGGCACTTCCAAACTGGAAAATTGTTTGTCGTCAGTTTGATCGGAAAGTGGGTGGAGGCGGTGATGGAGACAACTGAGGTGGATTCGGTGATGACCATGATGAAGGCTCCAGGAAAAAAATTGGCTCGTTAGAGTGAGCCTCTTGATACCATGTAAAGTAATATGATTGTATTTATTGAATTGATAATCATGATAGAGATACATTGTATTTATATACACTGGTATACGAAATTGTATGCGAAAGGATAATAATGTGTAACTAACCTATCTAAAATAAATTACAAAATAAAAATTTAAAATTAAGAGAATTTAAAAATGTACTTGTGTCCAATTCTCCCTTTTATTGTTTTTATATCACAATATAATATTGTTAGTATAAAATATTGTTTCAAAACTATACTATATATTTAGATTCTTTTGGAAAAGTGTTAAAATATGTGCTTCAATGTAAGAAAAATGCATTCTTTTCACTACAAAATTACATATTTTGTATAAAAAATAGTGAATTTAATTTTATTAAGGGTAAACAAAGTCAAAGAATGTTATTTCAAAAAATGTAATAATGTGTTCAAAATTTCACGACAAAACTAAAATTAATATTTATGAATTCGAAGTGCTTCTTCTGTTAGTTTTTCCCATTAATTACGTTTTATTTAATTAATATTTTAATATTAATTTTTCAGAAAATGAAGTACATTTGTTTAAGGGAAAAACTAATCTGAAGTGGTCCATTTATTAGATAAAGATTACCCATTATTTTCTCCAATTTATTAGCGAGAGAAGGTTAGTAACTTCTCCCTACTAATCGGCCGCACGACTGGGAACTCTTAGATGGGAAGAGCTCGATAAATAGCAGCGACATCTTGGCTCTTGTTTTAACCCTGAGTCTGCTCCTCACCATTAGTATACACATACCATCCAAGTGAAGGTGAAGAGAAGGGCTTGGAAAAGCAAAACAAGCAGGGCAGTTCACTGTGTTCATCTAAGGAAATGACTGGAGGTATGTAATTCCATATTTTGCTTCCGCTAATTATCGTATTGATCTGAATATGTTCAAGGATTGTTTAACATGTTTAGATTATTAAGTTCTTGCATTTGGTATCAGAGTTTCAGGAATTATCTCTGCCTTTCCTTTGTAATATTCGTTCGACCATAATTATTGTATGTGCGATTGATTAAAACTCTGTTCTGTAATTTACGATTCTGAAATTTTCGTCTGAGCATGCCTGATTCATTTATAATTGATTACTTAGAGAATCATGAATCATCCGATCATGCTTGATACTCTGCTTGCGTTTGAGAACACTGAACGTACATCCAATTTATGATCGTAATGAATATAAGTCCAATGTTCATTCCCAGATTTTTTAATACTCTTTTTATCTGTAGCATATAATTCGTATATGTTAATATATGTATTAACGAATTATGTGCTCCTGGTTGTGAGTTAATCATTGAGTAACAATCATAATTTGTTAATCATGATTCATCATTATGGATACGGTGTTTGTATATGTGTTTACATGATAAATCATTGCTTTACAATCAGATATGTATACTGATTTATCATTCATATACAACGAGATTAGTACCCGATTTATGATTATAGATGAACTTTGAAATCTGCTTTTCCATGCCCATAAAGTGTTTGGGTTAATGCTTCAATTGTTTATAGTATAAAATGCATTTCCAACCCCACTTATTTTGCACTGGTGATCTCTCTTATATTTGTATACCCATGATAAAGTATAAGAATTTATCCTGGGTGGAGATTATCCATTCTGTACTGCTCGAATATGTTTCTTATATTTTCTGATTCATTAGTATTCCAGTTTGTTCTATTTGTTTAAATAATATGCTTATTCAGTTGAGAATTAACACTGGAATCAGAATGATTGTTACTCGTGATTGATATTATTCGGCTGCTAATTCTGGAAATGATAGAACCAGAGTGTGCATTTGTTTCAGTTTATTACTTATGAATAGTGTACTGCTTATTTGAATAATCTGCACATTCATTTTAGAAAGAACTAGAATGTTGCCGCTAATACACTAAGTTCAACAAAATTGGCTGGAGTATACCTGTTTGTTGACTTTATTGATTACGTGTGAGTGGTATACTCCATTGCTTAATTAAATAGTTACAATTTTATTTTATAATAACTATAAAACCAAAATGCTATATGTGATTTGTAATACTCCAGAATGTTTCTCATTTATTTAGTTCAATGAAACTGGAAATCTGGAATTAAGATATACATAGTTTAATTGATTAAAGAATAGCCACAACATCTTTGATTAATCAAACTGTATATTAAGTTTCTGAATCACATTAAAGCATCACTTGTAATTAACTATATGAATATAATGAAATCTGCCCACAGGAGTCTCATTGTATTAGTATGATTAATTAGGATGAAATATTAGATTATTTTTCTCAAATTACCCACAGGAATTGAAAGGAAATATAATCTGATAGTTTTATCATAATTGTTTGCTTTATGTGTCTAATTGAGTAAAACTTTAGCCCACAGGTAAGCTTTATGTCACTAGACTTATAGCTAATCATGTTTTGCATTGGTAGAACATGAACTTTATTTTACCTCAAATATTAATAATGATCATGTATATATTATATTTTATAGTTGTTCAACCTGCGAATGTTTCTGATATGAAATGTGACATTCCCGAATTAAGGGGCGATAACTATAAGGTTTGGAAGGAGCGTGTTCTCCTTCATTTGGGTTGGATGGACATTGACTATGCTATAAGGAAAGATGAACCACCGGCTATAACGACAACCAGCACTCCGGATGCAGTTCATCTTTATGAAAAGTGAGAGAGATCTAACCGTCTCTCCGTAATGTTCATAAAGACCAAAATAACTGTTGGTATCCGTGGTTCTGTCGATCAGCATACTAAAGTCAAGGACCTTTTGAAGGCTATTGATGAGCAATTTGCTACATCTGATAAGGCCCTTGCCAGCACCTTAATCATGCAATTCGCAACCATGAAGCTCACTGGGATAAGAGGCGTGCGTGAACACATCATGCACATGAGGTACATAACGGCTCAGCTGAAAGCTTTGGAGGTAACCATGTCGGATGCTTTTCTGGTTCACTACATCCTTTACACTCTTCCACAGCAATATGCTCCTTTTAAGATCTCCTACAACACACATAAGAAAAATGGTCAATTAATGAGCTACTAATCATGTGTGTTCAGGAGGAGGAGAGGTTGATGATGGAGTAGGGTGAAGGGGTGAACTTGACTGTTCATGAAAAGAAAAAGAAGGATCATGCCAAAGGTAAAGACAGGATCCCTCCACAGGCAGTCACTAAGAAAGAGTCAAAGTGTTTCTTTTGTAAGAAAAAGGGACACATGAAGAAAGAATGCTCTAAATTCAAGAGCTGGCTAAAAAAGAAAGGTACTCCATTAGTTTTTGTGTGTTATGAATCTAATATGGTTAATATTAATCACAACACATGGTGGATTGATTCAGGTTCTACAATCCATGTTTCTAATACCTTGCAGGGTATGGAAAACCTAAGGAAACCAGTGGCAAGTGAACAATGCATCTATTCAGGAGGAAGAATAAGTTCACATGTTGAAGCCATTGGGACATGCAATTTAGTTTTAAGCAGCGGTTTTATTTTAAAATTGGAAAAGACCTTTTATGTTCCTAGTTTTTCGAAGAATTTAATTTCTGTTTCGAGACTAGCTCCTTTAGGATTTAATTTCAACTTCTCAAGTTCTGGTTTTACTTTAATAAATAAAAAACCATTGGTTTTGGTTCTTTAGTTGATGGTCTTTATTCAATTGATGTGAAAAATGATGTTGCTTATGATTCAATGCATGTAACAACTGGTTCCAAACGGTGTGTTGTGAATGAGAAATCCTCTATGTTGTGGCATCGGAGACTAGGGCATATCTCCATCAAGAGAATTAAGCATTTAGTGGATGAAGGAGTACTTAGTACTCTAGACTTTGCTGATTTTGATACTTGTGTGGGTTGTATTAAGGGTAAACAAACCAACAAGTACAAGAAAGATGTCAAGAGGAGTTCTAACCTTTTAGAAATCATACATACAGATATTTGTTGTCCAGATATGGATGCAAATAGTCCGAGATACTTTATCACCTTCATAGACGATTATTCACGATACATGTATCTCTACTTGCTTCGTTCTAAAGACGAGGCCTTAGATGCCTTTAAAGTTTTTAAGGTTGAAGTAGAGAAGCAATGTAATAAGCAAATTAAGATCGTGAGGTCGGACACGGGTGGAGAGTACTATGGTAGATATACAGAGAGTGGACAAGCACCTTGTCCATTTGCGAAGTTTCTTCAAGAAAATGGGATCGTTGCCCTATACACTACGTCTGGTTCTCCGGACCAGAATGGTGTAGCTGAAAGAAGGAACCGATCTTTAATGGACATGGTGAGAAGCATGAGGAGCAATGTGAAACTTCCTCAATTTTTGTGGGTTGAAGCACTAAAAACAGCCGCGTATATATTAAACCGAGTTCCATCTAAGGCTGTCTGTAAGACTCCTTTTGAGTTATTTAAGGGATGGAAACCGAGTTTGAATCATATACGCGTTTGGGGCTGCCCATGTGAAGTAAGAATCTATAACCCTCAAGAAAAGAAGTTAGACCCTAGAACTCTTAGTGGTTATTTCGTTGGATATGCAGAAAAATCCAAGGGGTATAGATTTTAGTGTCCATCACATAGCACTAGGATCGTGGAGTCAAGAAATGCCAAGTTTCTTGAGAATGACTTAGTTAGTGGGAGTGAAGATCTTCAGAATATTTTTTCTGAAAAGGATCACATTGAGAATCAACCACGCGAACTAAGTAACAGATTGATTGTTGTACACACTCCTCCAGAACAGATGCGTGCTACACAACCAATAAATGAGAATCCACATGAAGCTGGAAATGACCTAATAGATTATACCATTGTTGAAGGTCAACAAAACAATGGTGAACAATCTGGTGAACAACTGGTTCAACATCCTGCTGTTGAACCAGATGTTGAAGCCACATTAAGGAGATCTAATAGAGTCAAAAGACCAGCAATTCCTAGTGATTATGTAGTGTATCTACAAGAATCTGACTGTGAAATAGGAGCTGAAAATGATCCCGAAACGTTTTCACAAGCCATGAGTTCTAAGGAATCAAACTTATGGATTGATGCTATGAAAGATGAGATGAATTCTATGGCATTTAATAAAGTCTGGGATCTCGTTGAGTTGCCAAAAGGTGTAAAAGCCATCGGGTGTAAGTGGGTGTTTAAAACCAAGAGAGACTCACAAGGCAACATTGAGAGATATAAAGCGAGACTTGTAGCCAAAGGGTTCACTGAAAGAGAGGGAATTGATTATAAGGAAACCTTTTCTCCAGTATCTAAAAAGGACTCTCTTAGGATCATCATGGCATTAGTGGCTCATTTTGACCTTGAGCTACATCAAATGGATGTGAAAACGGCTTTCCTTAATGGTGATCTAGAGGAAGATGTTTATATGAAACAACTAGAAGGATTTTCCTCTAGTGAAGGTGAGCACTTAGTTTGCAAGCTAAATAAATCCATATACGGTTTGAAACAGGCCTCCCACCAGTGGTATTTTAAGTTTAATGAGGTTATTACTTCATTTGCTTTTAAGGAAAATATCATGGATCAATGTATATACCTCAAGGCTAGTGGGAGCAAAATCTGTTTTCTTGTGTTATACGTGGATGATATTTTGCTTGCAACTAATGATGTCGGTATGATGCATGAGGTGAAAAGTTTTCTCTCGAAGAACTTTGATATGAAGGATATGGGAGATGCATCTTTTTTCATTGGCATAAAGATCCATAGAGAAAGATGTAGAGGCATTTTAGGCCTGTCTCAAGAGTCCTATATCATACACAAGGTTTAGAGAGATTTAACATGAAGCAATGTTCACCTAGTGTGGCTCCCATTGTAAAGGGAGATAAGCTGGATTTAAGTCAATGCCCCAAGAATGATTTTGAGCGGGAACAAATGAAAAATGTCCCATATGCTTCAGCCGTTGGAAGCCTTATGTATGCTCAAATCTGCACTAGACCCGACATTGCATATGCTATTGGGGTTTTGGGAAGATATCAGATTAATCCAGGGGTTGAGCATTGGAGAGCTACAAAGAAAGTGATGAGATATCTCCAAGGAACAAAGGATTTCATGCTCATGTACAAACGAAGTGACAAGCTGGAAGTAGTGGGCTACTCTGATTCAGACTACGCTGGCTGCATTGATACCCGAAAATCAACTTCTGGTTATATATTTTTGCTAGCCGGTGGAGCTGTGTCTTGGAGAAGTGCAAAGCAAACTTTATAAGCTACTTCCACTATGGAAGCTGAGTTCGTTTCTTATTTTGAGGCTACCTCGCATGGTGTGTGGTTGAAGAGTTTCATATCCGGGCTTAGAGTTATGGACTCTATTTCTTGGCCATTAAAGATATATTGTGATAACTCAGCTGCTGTTTCATGGCTAATAACAATAAGAGTGGAAGTCGAAGCAAGCACATCGACACTAAATATTTATCCATAGGGAGCGTGTCAAAGACCAAAAGGTGGTCATTGAACACATTAGCACTGAGTTAATGATAGTTGATCCTTTAACTAAAGGCACGTCACCAAAGAAATTTCAGGATCATGTAGTTCTCATGGGACTTGGTACCATGATTTAGCTTTCATAAATTTATTTATTATGGAACTCTTATTCAGGTTGGTGTATTCTCAAATTTATTGTGCACATTAATGATTGTTTTAAGAAATACTAATTTATGTGGGCTTGTAAAAAACATGTGGTTTATTCATTAAGTCAAGAGCATATGTTTAGGAGATTTAATATATTGTAATACATGGATGATAATACTTTATAGCAAAGGACTTGTCTCCATGATTCATATGTTTTATCTCATATAAAGTTTTGATAATGGGTTAAATGGACCAAGTGGGAGAATGTTAGTTTTTCCCATTAATTACGTTTTATTTAATTAATATTTTAATATTTATTATTCAGAAAATAAAGTACATTTGTTTAAGGGAAAAACTAATCTGAAGTGGTCCATTTATTAAATAAAGATTACCCATTATTTTCTCCAACTTATTAGCGAGAGAAGGTCGGTAACTTCTCCCTACTAATCGACCGCACGACTGGGAACTCTTTGATGGGAAGAGCTCGATAAATAGCAGCGGCATCTTGGCTCTTGTTTTAACCCTGAGTCTGCTCCTCACCATTAGTATACACATACCATCTAAGTGAATGTGAAGAGAAGGACTTGGAAAAGCAAAACAAGCAGGACAGTTCACTGTGTTCATCCAAGGAAATGGCTGGAGGTATGTAATTCCATATTTTGCTTCCGCTAATTATCGTATTGATCTGAATATGTTCAAGGATTGTTTAACATGTTTAGATTGTTAAGTTCTTGCATCTTCTACAAAGGGGAAAAATAATTTTGCAATTTAAAATTAAAGAGTTAATATTTTAACATAATAATACATCTCTAGTTTTAAATTTTGAATTTATATGTTATTTTTGGCATTTTGAAATTTATTTTATCTATTTAAAGTTATTAAGGGTAAATTTGAACCTTGATAAGAATATGAGGGTAATTTTGCACTTTTTAAAAATTCAAACTTCAATATATACTTGAAGATTACATTTATTTCAAAAAATAAAACAAGAATATATTTGTTTCCATACCCAGATATATTTATACATTTTTGGCTTTTATTTATCTCAATCAATGTTCTAAAAGACGCCAAGAGGCGCCTCCTAGACGCAAGGCGTACTAAAAACGCCTCCCGTACCTACTAAGCGTGCCAAAAGGCAGCTCAATCAAATCTGAAATAAAAATTAAACTATGCAGGTACGTTTGTGCCTGGGGGTAGGCACATGATTGAAAATGAGTGGAGCCTTGTATAACCGAAGTGAAAGGACGAATTGTTCAAATGCTCCGATATGGGAAATGTGAACAAAAGGGAAAAGAACCCTTGCAAGTTACGGAATACGTTTTTCAACCTAAATATAACTACTCCTAGTACTTCACACTAAATTTGTTGTAACTATTATTATTATAATTATTGTATTATTTTATTATATTGGTACTATTACCACTTTTATCATCAGACTCTTTTTCGAAATCCAATTTTTGATAATTAAGTATGTTTTTCAGTAATGTTTTTTACAAAGCTCCAATAATAATATTGTTATTATTAGAATTAGTGTTACTGCTAATTAGAGTATCATTGTTATAATTATTATTATAATTATTATAGTATCATTCAGCTACACTTTCGAATTCTAGTTTCATATTGTGTGGATAGCTAAATTTATATTTTTTGGACTACAAAACTACTTTTGTTGGGAGTTTGGAAAAATGTTGATCTTATATGATATTACGGGGTATCATAAATGACCAGTCCGTTGGACATTGAATCGTCCATAAACTGTCTATTTAACGAAGCATTAACAGACAAGAATGTTGGGCATTTAGAACTGTAACGGACCAGAAGACCCCAACAGAACACCTCGAGGTGTTCTGTCCGGAAGCCAACAGAGAACCTCTCTGGTCTTCTACGTATTATTTAATATTAAATTGACTTACTTAAAAATTTTGGTCTCAATTCACATTTTTATCTATTGTTCTTATTTTAATCATATATTAATATTAATATTTTATCATTAGACTATTTTTTTCAGTTATAGTTTTGTCTAATTGGTAAATTTATACTCCGTATTTCTTATATCAATGACGCGAATTTTTG